CGGTGGGGGGGGTTGTGGTGCCGAAATAAAGAGTGGTTAGGGGCGGAGGAGGCACTGGGCGGGCGCTGGGGCCGCGGGGGGGCGCTGAGACGGCGCGGGGGAGGGGGCGGAGCGGGGGGGGAGTGCGGTGCCGAAATAAAGTGGTCGAGGCGGAGGGGGCACTGGGCGGGCGCTGGAGCCGCGGGGGGGCGCTGAGACGGCGCGGGGGAGGGGGCGGAGCGGGGGGGGGGGTGCGGTGCCGAAATAAAGTGGTCGGGGCGGAGGGGGCACTGGGCGGGCGCTGGAGCCGCGGGAGGGCGCTGAGACGGAGGGGGCGCATGATGATGATGATGATGTGGATGATGATGATGATGATGGTGATTATGATGGTGATGATGGTGAGGATGATGGTGATGATGATGATGATGACGATGATGATGATGATGATGATGATGATGATGATGATGATGATGATGATGATGATGATGATGATGATGATGATGATGATGATGATGATGATGATGATGAAGGGGGGGGGTGCGGTGCCGAAATAAAGTGGTCGGAGCTCTAGACACCCTGTGCAAGAGAATGGGCGGGCGCTGGAGCCGCGGGGGGGCGCTGAGACGGCGCGGGGGAGGGGGCGGAGCGGGGGGGGGGGTGCGATGCCGAAATAAAGTGGTCAAGGCGGAGGGGGCATTGGGCGGGCGCTGGAGCCGCGGGGGGGCGCTGAGACGGCGCGGGGGAGGGGGCGGAACGGGGGGGGGTGCGGTGCCGAAATAAAGTGGTCGGGGCGGAGGGGGCGCTGGGCGGGCGCTGGAGCCGCGGGAGGGCGCTGAGACGGAGGGGGCGCATGATGATGATGATGTGGATGATGATGATGATGATGATAGTGATTATGATGGTGATGATGGTGAGGATGATGGTGATGATGATGATGATGAGGATGATGATGATGAAGGGGGGGGGTGCGGTGCCGAAATAAAGTGGTCGGAGGTCTAGACACCCTGTGCAAGAGAATATTACGAATAATAATAATAATAAGAATAGTACTAAGAAGAAGAAGACGAAGAACACGAATCCTAATAATAATAAGATTCACCATACTAGGCATAAGGCGAAGAAGCATGATAATATCAATGATCATAATAAATATAATAAGCATATCAATAATAAGAGCAATACGAATAAAAAATAGTAATTAATTTGATAATAATAAATAATAAAAATAATAATAAATAATAAATAATCAATAATTAATGAATAATAATAAATAATAATAATAATGATGATAATAATAATAGCAGTAATAAATAATAATAATAATGTTCATATCACTAATAATATTAATACTAATAATGTTAATACTAATACTAATAATAATAATACATAATAGTAGTAGTAGTAGTAATAACCATAATGAGCATACGAATAATACTAATAATAAGACTACTACTAATACTAATAAGAAGAGGAGGAGGAGGAGGAAGAGGAGGAGGAGGAGGAGGAGGAGGAGGAGGAGGAGGAGGCGGAGGCGGAGATCGGAGGAGGAGGCGGGAGGCGGAGGGCGGAGGCGAGATGCGCGAGGCGGAGGCGGAGGCGGAGGAGGAGGAGGAGGGGGAGGAGGAGGAGTAGGAAGGAGCAGGAAAAAGGGGGAGGAGGAGGAGGAGGAGGAGGAGGAGGAGGAAGGAGGAGGAGGAGGGGGAGGAGGAGAGGAGCAGGGCGGAGGCGGATAGCTTGGAGGCGGCGGGCGGAGGCGGAGGCGGAGGCGGAGGCGGCGGCGGAGGCGGAGGCGGAAACGGAGTCGGAGGCGGAGGCAGAGGAGGAGGAGGAGCAGCAGCAGGAGGAGGAGGAGGAGTGGGAGAAGGAAACCCAGGATTTCGGAGGGAGGAGACGGGCCCGCACTCCGGCGGCACCCGCCCTCCCGCGGCTCGGCCGAGGAGCGCTTGCGGCACAACCGGCCCGACGAGGCGGGCCCGGCCAGTGCCTCATGTCCACCCGGTCCTCCTCCTCCTCCTCCTCCTCCTCCTCTCCCCCTACTCCCCCTCCCTCCTGCCCTCTTTCCATCCTCCCTCCGCCCTCATCCCTCCTCCCCTCCGCCCCTCCCTCCTCCCTCCTCCCTCCTCCTCCTCCTCGTCCTCGTCCTCCTCGTCCTCGTCCTCGTCCTCCTCCTCCTCCTCCTCCTCCGCCTCCGCCCCCGCCTCCGCCTCCGCCGCCTCGTCCTCCTCCTCCGCCGCCTCCTCGTCCTCGGGTTGCCTACGGCCCCGGGGGAAACCGTGCAAACCCACCCTCCTGCCCGGTGGCCGCTCGCGTCGGGTCCTCGCCTCGGGGACTTGCGGAGTCGCGCGCGGTGCGCTGGCTGGGAGTCGGGGGCGGCCAAGAGGGGGGTGATGACTAGAGGGGGGTGGATCTCATGGCGTGGGCCATGCTATCTCCCATGATTTCATGGCGCCTCTTATTTCATTACGTCCCTGGCCCCCCTTTGGGCCGCGCACGTGCCGCCGCCATGATTCGCGCCCCCCCCCTCTTGGGCGCCCCACCCTTGGCGGCCGCCCCCGAGGGAGGAGTGGAGGCAAGACACACCGAGGCAAAAGTCGCGGACGTCGGAGTTGCGTTGGTAGTGCGGGTGGAGGAGCGGGTGTGGCGAACGTGGCGGTAATTAGGTGGAGGAGGGGCCCAAATTTTGGATGTGTGTGTGTGTTTTGTGTGTGTGTGTGTTTCTGTGTACACGCGTGTGTGCGTGTCTGTGTGTGTGTGTGCGTGTGCGTGTGCGTGTGCGTGTGCGTGTGCGTGTGCGTGTGCGTGTGCGTGTGTGTGTGTGTGTGTTGTGTGTGTGTGTTTTGTGTGTGTGTGTGTGTGTCTGTGTGTACACGCGTGTGTGCGTGTCTGTGTGTCTGTGTGTGTGTGTGTGTGTGTGTGTGTGTGTGTGTGTGTGTGTGTGTGTGTGTGTGTGTGTGTTATGTGTAGTGGTGTGGGCGGCGGGCGGGAGGGCGGGCGGGCGGGCGGGCGGGCGGGCGGGGCGGGCGGGCGGGCGGGCGGGCGGGCGGGCGTGTGTGTGTGTGTGTGTGCTCTTGCGGGGGTTCTGGAAGCCCGCCCGCCCTCCTGGTGGGCAGTGTCGGCCTGTGGGAGGGGCTCGTTCCTTGTTCGCCGCGCCATGCGGCACGTTGCGAGACCTTCCTTTGTTCAAGGGAGGCCAGCCGTACACCAACCAGAACAGGTGCACCGACGAGGAGGCTCTTCGAGGCTCACCACATGACAGCAGTGACCAGGTTTCGCCGTGCTGTTGCCGGAACAATGGCCCCTGCGGCGCCTCATTGGAGGCACGTCGCCTTAGCAAGCTGATCGTACCTCAACAGGTGAGATACGCAGCCGGCGCAGCTGAGCTGGTAAGTCTGCATTTGTTCGCGATGTTGGATGTTCGAGAGAGCGTGATCCACCGCTACTTTACTGTAGAAAATTCTCCCCGCTTCCTCCGGAACCCGGGGTCCCCCCCCCCCTTCGAAAATCCCCCCCCTTGCTGGACCCCCCCCCTCCCACTCACCGCCGGCAAACGACTCCCGGGTCCCCATCACCGTCCGCACCACATCCCCCACTGTTGTCCACAGCACCATTGTCCCCACCACCACTGTCCCCACTGTTCCCACCACCGTCCCCACTGTCCCCACCAGTGCACCCACCACTGTCGCACTGTCCCCACTGTCCCCACCACTGTTCCCACCGCGGTCCCACTCTCCCCACTGTCCCCACGGTCCCCACCACTGTCCCACTGTCCCCACTGTCCCAACTGCCCCACTGTCCCACTGTCCCCGCCGCTGTCCCGCTGAGCTGTCCCACTGCTCCCACCACTGTTCCCACTGTCCCCACCACTGTCCCCACTGTACCTCTGTCCCATTGTCTCACCACCGTCCTCGCCACCGCCCTCACCACTGTCCCCACCACTACTGTCCCCACCACTGTCCTAATGTCCCCACCACATTCCCACTGTCCCCACACCACTGTCCCCACCACCACCGTTCCCAGAACTGTCCCACAGTCCCCACCACTGTCCCATTGTCCCCACTGTTCACACCATTGTTCCCGCTGTCCCCACCAGTGCCCCCGCCAGTGTCTCAGTGTCCCCACTCTCCCCACCATTGTCCCACCACGCTCCCACTCTCCCCACTTTCCCCACGGTCCCCACCACTGTCCCACTGTTCCCAGAACTGTCCCACTGTCCCCACTGTCTCCGCCGCAGTCCCACTGCTCGGGCGAAGAGAATTATGCACATGCACCGATCCTGGCAAGGCCCATCCTTGACCCAGGATCGGTGCATATACCTTCCTGGCCAAGGTAAGAGGGCGTATGCACCGATCCTGGGCTCAGGATGGGCCTGGCCAGAATCGGTGTATGTGCGTAGTTCTCTTTCCTCTAACTGTGCTGTCCCAGTGTCCCCGCTGTCCCCACCACTGTCCCACTGTCCCCACTGTCCCCGCCGCTGTCCCGCTGTACTACTGTCCCACCACCGTCCTCTCCACCGCCTTCACCACTGTCCCCACCACTACGGTCACCACCACAGTCCCCACCACTGTCCCGCTGTCCCCTCACCACTGTCCCCACCACCACCGTCCCCGCCACTGTCCCCACCACTGTCCCACTGTCCCCACACCATTGTCCCCACCACCACCTTCCCCACCACTGTCCCAGTATCCCGACCACTGTCCAACTGTCCCGAGGAGCGGAAATCGTTTGCCGGCGGCGAGGAGGGAGGCGGGGGGGGCGGGTTCGAACCGGTACTGAACCCCCCCCGGTTTTCCAGGGGGTCCTTTTTCATGATGGACTGGGGGGGGGTCCGAACTGGTAGTGACCCCCTCGGTTTTCGAGGGGGGGGGCGGACGGGTTGGGACCCCCCAGTGACCTCCCCCGGTTTTCCGCCAGCAGCGGTAGAACACGCTCTTTCGGATGTTCGGTAGGGTTTCAACTGCGGTCCGCGGTATATTTTTTCGAGAAGTGTGTTTGTGGGTATGGGCGTGCGCACGGAGGATCTTGCATGCGTCATTGGGCCAGCACGCGAGCCCCATGATTCCCACCGCGCATATGCACATGATGTGAAATTCGCCCGTTCTCGGCATTGAGACATGCCGCGGGTTGAGCCACATCGCAATATTGAGTACACCTGGAGCAGCGGATCCCCCTGTTGCGCACGCAACCTGGGCCACATACAGACACGGGCGCGATAATGATTGTGCCTTGCGCTTCGCGGCCTGGGACGGTAAGAGGCGTTCATCCCCTGAAGTTTCCCAGCAGATGTCGCGAGAGCGCGAAGTTATTCGCGCTTCGTGCAGCTCGAAGTGGGAGGTTTGGTGACCCAGGGGACGGCAGACGCGCTTGCTGCTGCGCACACTGCCGCGCTCACTGTTCATGCCTCACTGCTGCGGTGTCTCCTCACAGTCGCGTCTGAAGGAGACGAGCATGCCGATTCCATTCCTTCGGTTTCGCCCCTTTGGCCACCTGTCGGGCCCTCGTCGTTACGGCTCGAGCCGCCTCGGAACCATGGCTGAAACGCACCCCGGGAGAGTTTCTTTTTCCCCACCACATGTCCCGTCCCGTAAGACGTATCCTCGTGCCAGACGGCAGTGATGATACACGCCAAGTCCACGATGCATTCGATTATCGCAACGTCGGGTCTCGGAGGCGATGCGCCTCCACGTGTCGGGCTGTCCGGGTGCATGCGCTGTTTTTGCAGGTCTCCACATTCCGACATTGAATTAGATTGGGGGCAGCGACCCGAGTCCGCACTTGATACATCAATGCGCCTGCGGCAAGTTCTGCCACTCTGCCAGCGCAGCACTCAAAGGGGAGTCCTTTTGAGAGTGATCGAAGATGCGGGAGTTCTCTTTTTGAACGTACAGGGCAGAGGGTCAGGGCATGTGACGCGCTGTCTTGCAGAAGACCATGACGTGTCGTAGTCGTGATCGTCGCCCAAAAGAGCCCAAACATGTGACATATTCCTTCCCCAGGTCCCAGGGGGCGTAACCCGGAACAACCCACTTCCAATGGAGACACGACCGAAACATGTGACATCGACAGAGTTGGACATCTCAGGAATTTGCTGGCGGACTCCTTGACAGCTTTTTACCCAACAGCGAAGACTGATAGGTTTCTAGTAGGCTCAGAGCATCATGACGCCCCAGGGGGGTCTGGGCAGATGCCGGACGGGTGGCGGGGAGAATCCGCGGAAGTCGTTTTAAGCAAACAGTTACACACTTCGTGGTCTTCGAGTTCCCAGAACTCTAATTATTCCTGGGCCACATCCTGAATGCCCGGAGCCAACTGTAGGCCACTTCGTGCTCTTCGAGTTCCTAGAACTCCATTCCTGGGCCACATTTTGAATGCCCGGAGCCAACTGTAGGCCACTTCGTGGTCTTCGAGTTCCCAGAACTCCATTCCTGGGCATGATTTTGAATGCCCGGAGCCAACTGTAGGCCACTTCGTGGTCTTCAAGTTCCCAGAACTCCATTCCTGGGCATGATTTTGAATGCCCGGAGCCAACTGTAGGCCACTTCGTGTTCTTCGAGTTCCCAGAACTCCATTCCCGGGCACATTTTGAATGCTGAGGCAGGCTGATGCTGAGGCTGAGGCAGGCTGAGGCTGAGGCAGGCTGAGGCTGAAGCCGAGGCTGAAGGCAGACTGAGGCTGAGGCTGAAGCAGGCTGAGGCTGAGGCTGAGGCAGGCTGAGGCTGAGGCTGAGGCAGGCTGATGCTGAGGCAGGCTGAGGCTGAGGCTGAGGCTGATGCAGGCTGAGGCTGAGGCAGCCTGAGGCTGAGGCCGAGGCAGCCTGAGGCTGAGGCCGAGGCTGAAGGCAGACTGAGGCTGAGGCTGAAGCAGGCTGAGGCTGAGGCTGAGGCAGCCTGAGGCTGAGGCTGAGGCAGGCTGAGGCTGAGGCTGAGGCAGGCTGAGGCTGAGGCTGTGACTGCGACTACCGTTGCCACAGCGACTGTCATCGCGAATGCGACTACGACTGCGAGAACAGCAGAATTCTACAACTGGATTATCATCTGAATCTTAAGGGGAATGCTTCCAGATATGCTCCTACACATCGCTGTTAGGTTGCTTTGCCGGGATAATTTGAGCCTCCTGGGAGCCTCCAGGAGGATTCCGAGCCAACTCGGAGGATCCTGCAGCAGTCTGGGGAGGTAGTGGAGCAGTTTGGGGGGGGGCCCGTCTAGCAGTCGTCTTGGGGCGGCCTAAAGAGGTGTCGAGCGCCACTTGAGGAGGCAATTACTGGGCCGTCTTGGATCCGCCTTGGGTGACTTTGTGTCGTCTTGGGAGCCGCCTCAGGGCCATGATCGGAGGTCGGTGGGCGAGAACAAAGTGACCCTGATTGGGAAATCGGTTCCGGTGCCGATTCTTGCAGCGCGTGCGGGCGAGGCGAAGCTGCTTGAAGCCGACGTGTCCAGCCAGGGCCAAGCCGGACAGCAAGTGTCTTCCCGCCGTGGTTGTCTCACTGTTGTACCGTGGCCGTCCCAGGATTGTCCCGTGTGTTGTGCCGCGGTTGCCCCGCGGGTTGTACCGCGGTTGTGCCATGGGTGGATTGTCCCGGGGTTGTCTTGTTGGTTGTCTCGTGGCTGTTCGTTGGGCTGTCCTGGAGTTGTCATGTGGGTTGTTGTCCCGCACATCGTCCGCGGTTGTTCCGTACACAGCGTTGCCCCAAGGATTTTTTCGGTCAATTCTCGTCAGGAACGCCATCGACATGTAAACGCAATTCCTATCGGATTGCAATCCAGGTTTCATTGACTTTGACCATCTGTATGGACGGCGACACGCACATCGATCGAACACATATCGACATAACAACGTTACGTCGAAGCGACATGACAGTTGTACAGCGAAGGTTCATGCAAACTGAAGATGTAATGGGAGTGCGAACAGACTTCCAAAGCAACGCAAGCCGCAAGGTGAATCCACTTGCACTCGGCATGCCCGTGTTCACGAGCATCGACATGCACATGGGAATTTGCATCGAAATGCAGTTCGCACTGCAATTCGATGTGTAATTAGAAGTGTAACTCGAAATTACGTACACTGGTATACGTTGATATCGGGAGACAGTGATAGCAATGTGTAGATTCCTCGTCATGCTGATCTACACGTATCATCGAATGACCTTCGGTCCATCTCGCCACCGTGCTTGGACTGTGGGTGCAACGCCTACTGGATGTTCGTTGGAATCTCGCGGGGGGCCTCCTGGAGGCAGTTTTGAGGCCTCCTAGGGGCAGTTTTGGGGCCTATTGGGACATCTTTTAGGCCTCTCGGTGGCCTCGTGTCGTGGGGCCTCTTGGGGGCCTCTTGGGGCCCTTGGGCTCCTCTTGGGGCATCCTGGGGGCCTCTTGGGGCGGAAGGCTCGGATTTTCAGTTCGTGTTACTTCTCTTGGGCTCCTTTTTGAGACCGCCTTGGGCGCCTCTTGGGCCGCCTTGGGGCGCTCTCAGGCCGTCTGGGGGTCCTCTTGAAGGCCTCTTGGGGTGGTCTGGGGGGCTTCTTGGAGCGTCGGAAAACCGAAAAGGCGAGAGCGCAAACATTGCTCAAAAACCTAAGGAAGATCAATGATGTGTGCTTCTTGCTGCCTTTTTGGGAGGCCTCCTGGAGTCTTCTTGTGGCGTCTTGGAGGCCTGTGTGGCCATCTTCAGGCCATCTTGGGCGTCTTGGAGCGATCGTTCGGCGACTCGGGGCCCTCTTGGACTCATGAGAGGGTTCGGGAGGTCGCTGTGGGGAGGGCACATTGTCCAAAGGAGGCGCAGGAAACACATCATAACTCACGGGAGCCAGCCGAAGAAATCCGAGAGAGGCCTGGGACACGACTGGTCCGGGCCCTTAAAGATTTTCAGTTCTCGCTGCAGAAGCAGCAGCAACAGCAGCAGCAGCAGCGTCTACCTCTCAGTGTCGCATGAGCCTTGGGGCACTGAAACCGACCCCAGCCCTCACAATTATGAATTTTCCGTGTCAGCGTTTTGCCTTCATGGCGAAAGTGCGTAAGTGTAGGAGCCCTGTCGGCGAGGCCATTGCCACCTGCCGCAGGGGGGGGCCCGCGCGCGCGGCGACGTCCTGGGCCCAGTCGACGCGACCGCGCCCGCGCCGGCATTCCCAGGGGCGCGCGTGTCACGGCCGCGGCGTGCAGGTTGAGGCGACGGCGGCGCTGTCATTCGCACGGCAGCGCCGCTGGCCCAGCCGAGTGCCCCCGCTCCCGCCGCTATCGCCCCATCGTAAAACGCCGGAGGACAAGTTTAGATCGGAAAGAGCGTGTTCTACCGCTGCTGGCGGAAAACCGGGGGGGGTCACTACCGGTTCGAACCCCTCCCCCCCCCCTCCGGAAAACCGGGGGGGGTCACTACCGGTTCGAACCCCTCCCCCCCCCCCCCCCAGCTCATCATGAAAAGGGGGGGGGGTCACTACCGGTTCGAACCCCCCCTCCACCCCCCTCGAAAACCGAGTGGGGGTGCGGACAGTGGTGGGGACGGTGTTGGTGGGGACAGTGGTGAGGGGACAGCGGGACAGTGGTGGGGACAGCGGGGTGACAGTGGGACAGTGGTGGGGACGGTAGTGGTGGGGACAGTGGTGGGGACAATGGTGGGAACGGGGGACAGTGGACAGTGGTGGGAACGGTGGTGGTGGGGACAGTGGTGTGGGGACAGTGGGAATGAGGTGGAAACACTGGGACAGTGGAGGGTACAACGGTGGTGGGGATACTGGTAAAGGCGTCGGCGAGGACGGCGGTGGGACAATGGGACAGAGGTACAGCAGAGGTACAGTGGGGACAGTGGTGGGGACAGTGGGGACAGTGGTGGGAACAGTGGGACAGCTCAGTGGGACAGCGGAGGAGTCAGTGGGACAGCGGGGACAGTGGGGATAGTCGGGCAGTGGTTGGGGCCGTGGAGACAGTGGGGAGAGTGGAACCGTGGTGGGAACAGTGGTGGGGACAATGGGGACAGTGCGACAGTGGTGGGGGCACTGGTGGGGACAGCAGGGACGGTGGTGGAACCAGTGGCGACAGTGGTGGTGAGGACAGTGGTGCTGGGAACAACAGTGGGGGATGTGATGCGGACGGTGGTAGGGACCAGGAGTCGTTTGCTGGCGGTGCGTGTGGGGGCGGGGGGTCGAACCGGTAGTGATCCTCCTCCGGTTTTCGAGAGGGGGGGGGGGGTTCGAACCGGTAGTGACCCCCCCCCGGTTTTCCAGATCCGGACGGGGGGGAGGGAGGGGTGGTTCGAACCCGGTAGTGACCCCCGCTTTTGAGGGGGAAGGAAAGGGCGGGGGGAGAGGGGTTAGGGGAGAGGGGGTTTTGTTGTTGAGGGGGGGGGGGTCCAGCAGGGGGGGGGATTTTCGGAGGGGGGGGGGCGACCCCCAGGCTCTGGAGGAACAGGTTGGCAATTTTCCACAGTAGAGCGGCGGTGGATCACGCTCTCTCTTAGATCGGGGGCGTCTCTGTTGAGGCAACTGTTCCAACATATTTGTTTGCGTTTAAACACATTTCTCTGCTTATGTAGACTTTGTTGAGGCTCTCCCGCGAGAGACTCTTCGCTTCGGAGAAGTTCAGCTATATTTTCGATTGAGTTTGTATAAGACTGTTTTGCCTGGTGCCTAAACTTTGCTTTCTGGGTGGATCTAAAATTTCTGATGCGCGCCAGTGCGGGGTGGGCGTTGGGCGCCGCCCATGGCTCTTTGCCAGCGCCGCTAAAGGCCAACGCGCCCCTTGGGTTCGCTTTAGCACGAGCGCGCGAACATCCACAATGACTTTGGTCACTGCCGCGCGCCAGCGCAAAGCAATGCCAAATTCAAGCGCCAATGAGCATAGCAGCATCGCGCCGTGAGCATTGAATTGCGCGGCGTTGTCGTTGGCTGACCGTCGAACTGTTTCCGTTTGCAGAGCGCGTGTCGCTTGACGGTCCCATTCGTCTGAAGTTCCTCATGTGGGGGGCGGGGGGCGTTTTTCTTGCGTTCAGCCACTTCGTGCCGGGGTCACGGTGGCGGAATCATACACTATATCTATACGCGAACATACTCACATGTGTGTTGGCATTGATTGGTGCTTCTGGATTGCGGTAGCTACACAGTGGTTTGTATACATGGATGGTGCGTTTGATAGGCATGTCGTGCGAGTAAGATGTAAATCGGCAGTTGCACCGGTACAAATATCTACGGTCGGCAGGTTGCGATCGGCCGGTATTGGGTTTTTCGTGCATATATGTATGTATCCACATGTGTGCATCTGTGTAAATCTATTTGTGTAAATGCACATTGCGAGCCCAATGGGGTGCCAATCGCACCCATCCGCCCCCAACCCCCGTGTCACCCGAAAGGGCGGTTCATGAGGTAATGTGCGTTTCTTGGGCCAGCCGACCGGGTCAGGAGAAGGAGGCGGTGCGCCTGAAATTCGTACTCTTGTGAACCCGTTGCGTCCCATCGGGACTTGTGTAGGCCATCTTCGTTGTTTTTGTTTTTTTTTGGTCTTTTTTTGCGTTATTCATTTTTCGTTTTTGTAGTTTTTTCTGTTTTCTTGTTCTTCGCGGCGTTCTTTGCCTGGTTTTGTTTCCGTTCTGCCCTTTTTGTGTAGGCCAGTCGAGCAAGAAAATGGGAGTGGCAGCAGTGGGGTAGGGGCAGAGAAAACATTCGAAAAGGGCGCCCCTTTTAGACGTCGGCTGCCAGGATTGCATAGCCACGATCAATCGCTTCGTGCAGGAGACGCTTGCGTACCGCAGCCATCCAGAGTGTGGGATGTGATCATTGCTCCCGGAATCAACACTGCACGAGAAGCATCCGAGCATCATTCGGCACATTTGCGTGTTTATGTTGGTGCTAGTGTCTGTGAGAAGGAGAGGAAGTATGGAGGAGGAGAAGGACGTACTTTGGAGATGTGGGTGCGACGCGAGTGGGTTGGGAGGGGGGAGGGGGGGCAACCCACTTAGCGCGTGGGTACAACAGCATTGCAAGCTGCTCGTGCCCGCTCACGACCCAGAGCTTGCCGCAATGTGCATGTTGCGATGCTTTTCGTATGCATGGGGGGCTCATTGTTCCTTGTCGGCGGCCAGTCGAAGCAGAGATCCCCTGGCCTTGCGCCCATCCCGCCACCGTTTTTTCGTGTTATGCGCCAGGGGACTCCCGGACGTCTTTTGGGGTCTCTTAGGGGTGCTTCTGGGGAGGCCCCTTGCGGCCTCTAGAGGGGCCTCTGGGGGGCCTCGGGGCGATCTTGGGGGGCCTCTTGGCCGTCGAAGGCTTTTGAAAATGCGAGACACGAACATCATTCGAAACCCTCGGAGGGTCAATGGATATCGTGAGGTCCGACCCTGGGAGCTCTCGCGGGGCCCTCTGGGGACCCTCTGGTGGCGTCTCGGGGGCGTTCTTGAGGCTGGCCCTTGGACAACTCGCGCGTAAAGTCCCGGGGATGACACGACAAGCCCCGGAGATTTTGGCAATTGGGGATCTGGGCCACTCGAACTCTCGATGCAGAGAACAGAGGGTTCTGAGGAATTCGAGTGCACTCTTACTCAGTGCCTATGACACTTTGGTGGATTCATAGGGAGCAAACCTTTCCGCGAAGGGACAGAAGGATATTATAAGCAGAAGTTATAGTAACCACATACGCCCAGCTGTTGGGAGTCATCGTCCATTTTACACAATGCCAACCTCCAATCAAAGGAGAGAAAAGAGAGACAACGAGAGAGAATGAGGAGGTAAAGGCAATATAGGAAGAAGGAGGAAGACAAGTGGAATGTCTGAGGCACAGGAACGACGATAACGGCGACGACGACTTCAATTCGGATGCTTGATCGGCGTTATTTGGGGTTCGCATCGCCACGGTTGAATGCGGCTTGAAACATTGGCCAGGATGGATCTTTTGCGTGTTTCACAATGGTTCACCCGCCTGTTTTGCACCATGGTCTTCTCAGGCCCGTTTTCAAACGACGGCCCTCCCACGGTTGTTCTACTCGATGGTCATCCAACGCTTGTTTTCCATCATGGTCCTCCGAGGTTTGCTTTACATCTTTGTCCGCCCGCGCCCGTGTGAAGCGGTGGTCGGTGGTCCTCCCACACTTGTCTTATGCGATGGACCACCCGCGTTTGTTTTATCACGGGGTCCTCCCGCGGATGTGTTCGCGAGGACCTCCCAGGCCAATTCTAAGCGATGGTCCTTCCGCGTTCGTTTTACACCATGGCCCTCCGGCGAAGATTTCACACGATGGCCTCCCATGCCTATTCTACCTGATGGTCTTCCACCCCTGCTTTGCGCAGAAGTCCTGCCACGCCTGCTTTGCAAGATGGTCCTCCCAGGGTTGTACTGCGCGATGTTGCCCCGAGCCCGATTCTGAGCGATGATGCCCAGGGGCATGTTTCTTCCACGCAAGGGTGCGCCCAAACGTGTTTTACACGATGGGCTAACCCATGCATGATTTACAGCATGGTCCAGCGGCGCTTTTCTACACGGTGTTTCCTCCCAGCACTCTTTGAAACGTCGTTCCTCCTACAGTTGTTCCACACGATGGCCCGCCCACGCCAGTTTTACTCCATGGTCTGTCTTGCACTGTGAACCTTCCAAGGCTGTTCTACGCGATGGCTTTCCCGCGCCGTTTTTACATGATGGTCATCCTACACCTCTGCTGCACGATGGTCCTCCCAGGCATGTGCTACTCCACGGTCCCCGAACGCATGTTTGGCACTATCCCCCGCATCTCGTCTGCCTCACGCGTTGGACGCAGCAGGCCTGCTTTACAGCACTGCCTGCCCGCGCACGATTTACACGCCGTGGTCCCACCACGACTGTTGCTCACCGTGGACCCTTTTGGCCTGTTTGACACTGGCCTTCACACATCTGCATACATAAAGTGATTGACCACCGTACGAACATATTTTGTAGGCTCCACGGTGCAGCGTGACAGCACTATGGAACATGCAAGGACGCTGCGGAGAAATGTTTGAGCATTTCGCGAGCATGAGACTCCAGCTAGCTGCTCCTGAGCTGGAGGAGAAGGTGGAGAATAATGATAGGGGGATGAAGAGACGGACAAGGAGGATGAGGAGGGGATTGATGAGCACATTTGAGAACGACGATGATAGCGATATTGAGGAGGAGGTGGAGGAGGAGGAGGTGGAGGAGGATCCTCCACCCCCACGCCATCTGCTCCCCTATGGTCCTCCTGGGGGCAGGAAAGGTGGCCGCGTCGCACGACTCTTCGGCCGAACGAGAGGACGACGAGGAGGAGGAGGAGGAGGAGGAGGAAAAGGGAGGAGGAGGAAGACGAGGGGGCGAAGAAGGCTGAGCGAGGCCGGCCGCTGGAGGGGCAGGCGCTGCCACTGGGTGAGCGCGCGGAGGGGCGGTGCTGGGCGCCGATTGGCGTCGCTGCTGAAGTTTTCAAGAAGTGGTGAAGCGTCCAGGCTCGCCTTTAGGCCCACCAGAGAATGTTCTGAGAACCGTGTGTGCTCTGCACCATTTTTTCTTAGATCATGTCTGGCTGGGACTGTCTTGTTTGAACACATCGGGTCTATGCTCTAAGAGCCTTGTTTTTTTTCTGTTCTTGGAACACCTGGGGGTTCTAAGAACATGTCGTGGTAGACCTACAGGAATGCCGGGGCGGTCGGTCCCTGCGCAAAATGTTGGGGCCGGGTGCGTGCCAGCGGGCTGGCCGCCCCGGCAGCGCGTGTTGTCACGCTGGCGTGTGGGCCAGGGAGCTGCCAGGCGCCGTGGGGCGTAAGTCGGGTATAGCCAGGACCCCATGTAAGGGGACCCCGTTAGTAGTAGGGCCCTGGAGCCCCGAAATTGGCCAGAATCACTAAACCAGGTCTGCCGTAGCGCTGGTGTTTTTCAGGTGACGGCAGTTCCGTATAGTGGAACGGGGCCTAGGGGGCGCCCCCCAGTCCACATTTTTAAACTAGGTCGTACTAAACCCAGTTCTGCCATCGCCCGAGTAAGTCGGGCGTGTCCCTCTACAGGAGGAATGTTCAAGAATAGTCAGAAGATAATCGGGGGACGATTTCTAGGTTTTTTTCCAACTTTGAGCATTGCTGGGCATTTTAAAAAATTGTTCCTCCAAGATCCGCCTGTAGGAGGGCATGCCCGACCTGAGTATGGGCCGCGGCTGGCGCACCCCCCTCCCCCCCTGGAGTGGCCGCCGTTCGCGTGACTCTTCTGGGGGAGGTGTCCCGTGTGAGGGATTGGGGGGGAGAGTACCCCCCGGCTCCCAATCCAAGAGCTCCGGGCGGACACGCGGCTGCCGGGAGGAGGAGTAGGAGGAGGAGGAGGAGGAGGAGGAGGAGGAGGAGGAGGAGGAGGAGGAGGACGACAGGACGAGGACGAGGAGAGGAGGAGGAGAACGAGGGGGCGGACGAGGGGGATGGGAGGGGGAGGAGGAGGATGAGGAGGAGGAGGAGGAGGAGGAGGAGGACGAGGAGGAGGAGGAGGAGGAGGAGGAGGAGGAGGGAGGAGGAGGACGGAGGGAGACGAGGGGAGGAGGAGAGAGGAGGGAGGAGGAGGAGGAGGAGGAGGAGGAGGAGGAGGAGGAGGGTCTAGGAGTTGGAGGAGGAGTAGGAGGATAGGAGGAGGGAGGAGGAGAGGAGAGAGGTGGAGGAGGAGGAGGAGGAGGAGGAGGAGGAGGATGAGAGGCGGAGGAGGAGGAGGAGGAGAGGGAGGTGAGCCAGGAGCAAGCAAGGAGGAGTCAGGAGGCGGAGGAGGAGGAGGAAGGGAGGAGGAGGAGGAGGAGGAGGAGGAGGAGGAGGAGGAGGAGAGGGAGGAGGAGGAGGAGAGGAGGAGGAGGAGGGAGGCGGCGAGAGGAGGAGGAGGAGGCAGGAGGAGGAGGCGGACGGAGGAGGAGATAGGGAGGAGCAGGGACGAGGACCTGAAACCAGGGACCAGGAACAGAGGACCAGGACCAGGACCAGGACAAGGACCAGGAGGAGGAGGAGGAGGAGGAGGAGGAGGCAGGAGGAAGGAGGAGGAGGAGAAAGGGAGAGAGGAGAGGGGGAGGAGGAGGAGGAGGAGGATTGAGGAGGAGGAGGAGGAGGAGGAGGAGGAGGATGAGGAGGCGGAGAGAGGAGGAGGGAGGAGGAGGAGGAGGAGGAGGAGGAGTTGGAGGAGTTGGAGGGAGGAGGAGGAGGGGGAGGAGGGAGGAGGAGGAGGAGGAGGTGGAGGAGGAGGAGGAGGAGGAGGAGGAGGGGGGAGGGGGAGGGGGAGGAGCGGACAAGTAGGCGGACCAGGGTCCGTCCGCGAAGCGCACTGCGGTGCGACAACTCGCTAAACACTATTTGCGGCGGTGCAGCCTTTAGATACGAGGGCGGGCAACAAAAAACCCCTCCCCCGGCGCAGTGCGACAGACGCTACAGACGGCGGACAGACGGTGATGATCTCACCTGTCAGACCGCGTAAAGAAAGAGGCCCCAACAAGAAAGGCGACGTGCTGACACGTGGCTAGGCGGCTTGGCAGACCGCCAGTTGGGCGCTTGGCCGCTAAGCGGCGCGCAGTGACGGGGCCCCCCCCGCCCCCACGCCCTGACACCGTGGACGCGGAGCCACGCGTACACACGGGCAGGCAGAAAGGAGGATATTAGCGCGGGGCGCCAGGTGGAGCGCCGCGGAACGATGACAGCATAGCTTGGATGGTGAGTGACGGCACGGCACCATCGGGCGAGGGCGTGAGCAGCTCGGCGAAGGCTCGCCCGGCGCTGTGGAGGCGCTGGAGTAGAGGACCTTGGCGAGCTTGGGCGGCGGCGAGGTCCGCGGCGAGAGCAACGCACCTCTGCTGGAGAGCAGCCATAGCCCGGGACAGCTCGGTTTCGCGGTCGGTGAGGGGTGGCTGCTCAGTGCCAGCGGCCGAGGGCCTCGAGACAGAGGCGAGGTCCTCGGTACGCCTGTCCAGATGGTGGACTAGCGTAGTGCGGCACCCTGTACGCTGTCGTCCGTCACCCTTGAAAGGTGACTGGAGGGGAACACGCGACCCCAGGGCTGGAGCCGCTAGGGCACGCCCCGAGAGGTCGGGAGAGCCGCATCCTCTCGCTCAGCAACGATGGAAGCGTGGACGGGGCGCGAGGGCCTGTCTGGTTCAGTGCCCTGCGGGGGGGCTGAAGCCGCCCCCGCGGGCTGCCGCCGGTGGGGGGGCGGAGTGGTTTGCGCGGTGGGACCAATCATGATGCCGTGGAAGGGCTCTGAGGTCGGTCGCGTAGGGTGGCGTCTCGGTAGGGCGGCATGGTCGGCAGCGTGGGGTGTCGGCGGTGCGTCGTCTATGCCACTCAGTCCGCGGGGGTCACCCAGGTCGTCGTCGGCGTCTTGGCGGTGGCCGATATCATCGTATGGGGGCGATGTTGCTCTCGGGGACGGAGTCGCGGTAGGCATCGAGAGGTTGCCCGACGGGGCAGGGTTTTCGCTGACTGGTCCGTCGTCCAAAGCGTCCGATCCCCCACCGAAGCTGAACAGGTCGTCCTCCTGTTCGTCAGCGTCTTGAAGGTGAGCGGCGTTGTCAGGTGGGTGCGATGCCGCTCTCAGTGGCGGAGTCGAGGGCGACGTGCGGGTGCCCGACGGGGCAAGGTTGGCGCTGGCTGGCCCGTCGCCTAGGAAGTCAAGGCCCCCGCCAAAGCCGAACGGGTCGTCCTCCTGTTCGTCGAATATCGCCCGTTGGGCCTCGGCCCAGAGCTCGTCCGGGTTCTGTGGGATGTCTGGTCCAGCCGCGGGTGGTGCCTGGTCAGACAGCAGGGGGTTTGGTGTCATTTTGTTGAGTTCCGCAGCTGTAAACCCAGCCCTGCGGTGTGGGAGGGGGAGTGTGCGGTGTCTACGCTCGTAGATGGCGACAGCGACTCCATGAAGCACGGTCGCTTGGCGATGTCGTGTTTTGGCAGCTTCGACAATGTCGTCTGGGGTTATGAGTACGTGCCGCCGTTGTGGCGAGGGCGTCAGCCTGACGATTGAACTCCTCCGCGATGGGCCCGATGAGCCCGAGGTCGATGCCCATGTCTCCCAGGTGGCTTGCGATTTTCTCGACGCGGAACATGTTGGGCTTGGCCATAACGCATCGGTGGATCTTTTCCCAGACCTCCACGTGCGTGCCCTGCGGTGCTGAGTGTCCGTCGATGATGCTTTGGAACCCATCGACCACCGCCTGGTTGTCCACGAAAACGTGCACGGGCCGTTCAGCACATGCCGTGAGGTGGACAACGGCGAGGGTCTCCGCAAGCTGGGCGTTCTGCGTAATGCCGTGAACGCGTGCACTGTAGTTCATGCGGTGGTCGATGCCGTAGTAGACGCCGCAGCCCGCTCGTGCTAGCAATGGGATGGCTTGGTTGGTGCAAGCACCGTCCGTGGCAGCGTAGACCCATGTCCAACCAGTGTCGTGGTCAAGGTAGGTGGTGTAGGAGTCCTGGGCTGAAGCCGCAGGATCTCCCTCAGGGGGGGGCCGCGGTATGGGCTGAGGTAGCGGGTCCCTCGCGAGGTCGGCCTGCAGGTCGAGGAGGGCTGGGTCTTCATCGAAGAGCCCGCAGTGTCTTGTGTGCGGCGGGAGACGGGCCCACTGCTCGTCACTGATGAGGGTGGTGAGAGGGGGTCTTTCTCGGGCCCAGCACTTGCAGTCGCGGACAGTGTGCTCCTGAGTTTCCTCTTCCTCGTCGCAGTATCGGCAGATGGGGCTGGGGTCAGCAGACGTGTTTGATCGGGATCGTCGCTGTTGGGTGTGGTCCCCGCCCGACAGGTAGTTCAGGAGGAGCGCCAGCTGACAGGCATTGCATTTGGCTGCTCCTTTCGTTCGGGCGAGCCACGTGCTGGCGAAGAGGTCGAGGCCCTGTCTGACAGAGGCAAGGTATCCAAGGTCGTGACGCCGTGGCTTGATCCTCCTCAGAAAGGCTCTGCGTTGTGAGGCCCGCAGCAGGTGAAGGAAGGCGTTTTGGGGTAAGTTCAGCCAGCTGATCTGGCAGCCCCAGTCGTCGTACATGATGCCAAATGTGGGCCAGGTCCAACGGAGCTGCTGGAGCGACTGGACAAGTCGTCCGACAGGTCCTCCCCCAAACAGGGTCTGAACGTGGTGTTGGAGATCCCTGACGAGACCGCAGAGTGTAGCGTCGCGATTAACCTGTCGCCGCAGACACAGGAAAACTTCACGCTGCGTGATGGCGTCAATCTCCAGGGCGTGTCCTGGGACGCACACGGCCATGAGAGTCCAAAACTCGACCCACCTGTTTCCCTTGGGGCGGATAGCCGCCTTAAGGGCATGGTTGTAGGCAGTTTTGACAGGGCCTGATGGGGCTTGAATGTCGGTGCCCGTGGTACAGACGCTGGCAGCAAGGGAACGGGCGTGCCGCGCCTTAATAAGCATCGGAGATGGGAGCTTGCCAATGCGCGGCAGGCGACTAGTCGCCCTGCGAACACGGGCGTCAGCGGTGGCCGTGAGGTTAAGCGCGTCTGGAGCCGGCGCTG